CTGGTAAACCACATAGTAACTGAACCGTAAAGACTACGTGTCATGCTTAATAAAAGCCGCCTGCACGAAATAAACCCTGTTTTGCATGTGAGGGACATCTCAAACTGTCGTCTTATATTTTTCTGAGTCACCCATAATGTTAGGAAATTTGATGACTGAGCCATACCTTTTTTCCACTTGACACCTTTACAGCGTTCGCTCCGCTAAAGTGGAAAGAAAGTAGGGCTTAGTGAGAGGAGCTTATTTTGTCATCATTGCAGGTAACCTTCATTAAACCATGGTAGCTCTTTTTTCTATGTTGGTAACTGTGATGGATTATGCTATAGGGCGGGCTCATATATAAATTCTGAAGCGCTTTTCACTATACACATATTTTTTTTTATATTTTAAATTTATCTTAAAACGGCAGCCGAGTAACGAGATAACCAAGTCTGGCAAAGTATCGCGATACAAGCGATACATTGTAAATGTATTTCTCTACTCAGATACAATTGCATTTTTTAAATGTATCTCGATACACAGATACGGATACTCGAAAGTATCCCTAGGATACTATCGCGATACATTTGCATCGCAATACTGCCCACCCCTATTTGTGAGCAAACGAAACGGCTGCTTTAAGCAAAAAAGAAGGTGGACCGAAATGCGTGACCTCTCTCCGTACAACACGAAGGACAAAAACGCTTGTGCGAATATTTGTCACGTGACTCGCTCTGAAGCTCTGATATGATCGCTGTGGCTGTTTTCTTCGACGTTTGCCAAGTTATGGAGATGGGTTGGGGCACGTATGTCCGGTTTCCGAAATGCGCTCTTCAGTGTTATGCAGCTTTTGTGCGGTCACGGTGGTAGTTTTTCATCGTGAACACCCGGAATACGTTTGTGCCAACTCTTCGGTAATGGCCGTTTTGCTTCGTCGGAATCCAGGGAATTATTTTGCTGTGTTTGTTGGACGTGCTTCGATAAAAAAAACTGTTCTTCGGCGGCAGCGAGACTTCCGTTAAATGTGGGCGACCTCCAATTCCTTCTCGACCTTGTGTTTGTGTTGCTCTGCGATGCCCGAGTCGGATAATACACCTATTACGGATTAAATGGTATCGCTCTTTTTGTAATAAGTACACTGTGAGAGTGCTTCTGATAGTAGCCCTGCTTCCTCTAAATCCCCTCAGTCATTCGTGTTAGAGATATCGGTTTTGCTTGGCATAAAACCGGCGTCCTTATATTTAATATTATGCTTTTTGTTTTACAAAGACGTATAACTTTCGAAAATTTGTCAAGAATGAGCCAAGTCTAATGATAGTGGTTTAATGCACTTCTGGGAGCCATTAAAACAATTTAGTTTGTGTGTTATTCGCACGATACTGCGCCATTACTAGGCTAGTGGCGAAACGACGGAATGCCAATACGGTCACAACACTGCCAAGTATCACGGTGTTGCTTTGGAACGGAGATGATGACGTTGGAACGGAGATGATGACGAACGATTATTTAATTTAATTTTCTTCTCGAGCGTGTGAAAGACCAATTTTTTGGCACACCAGAAACATGCCGAACTTCGGCTGGAATCTGTGCTTTTTTTGGTACTTTTTTGCACTTCGGCACTACTGGGCACTCCAGTGGCTAGCCAGAGAAAAGTCGAGCCTTCGCGCGCCCCGAATCCTAAATGTAGGATTTACTTTGACAGTTCTGGCTCAGGTATGGCACTTACTTCGTAACGCCTGGGGCGGCCAAGGGAAAAGCCAAACTTTGGCATGTCCGAAATTCCCAAATCAGAGTTACTTTGGCAGTTATCACTCACGTATGACACTTACCTTGGCGCTCTTTTGGCATACCAGAGAAAAGCTAAACTTTGGCATGTACGATATCCCCAATTTAGGCATTACATTGACCGTTAAGGCTGGTATACACACTTGTAACCGAGTACGACCGAGACAGACAAGACCGGTTTTTAAGCCTCTTGCGACGTCTTAGGACCAGCTCCGCAGCAGCGCATCCGGTCCTTAGACGTCACAAGAGGCTTAAAACCCGATCTTGTCTTTCTCGGTCGTACTCGATTGCAAATGTGTGAACGAGCCTTTATGGCTCAAGATGACACTTACTTTGGCAATCCCGTGGCGGACCAGAGAAACGTCAAACATTGGCATGTTCAAAGTCTACACATTAGGCGTTACTTTGAAAGTCATGGCTCAGGTATGAAACCTACTTTGGCACTCCTTTGGCGGTCCAGAGAAAAGTCAATCTTTGGCATGCCGTAGTATTTCCGAACTAGGTCTTTAGTTAGGGAACGTATTTTGGCACTGATTAGCGCCATAGAGCAAAACCTAACTAGGCCCAGGTTAGGCCTTTAGACTTGCCACACTTTTGGCCAAGTTGGGCGATTCTCTGGCGTGTTACTGGGTTAGGTCAATAGTAACTCAAAGTAATCAAAAGAGTAATCTTATATTACTTGAGCTCATAATAAATTAGCTAGTTTAATATATTGCTCAAATTAAAGACATAGTAGTCGAAATGTCAATAAGACCGAAATATAGTTTATTCTCTCAGAAGTAAGTTGTAGCAATGAAAAGACTAGTATTAATGTGAATTGAGCTCATAATCGATCAATTTGTGGTAAAAAAACCGAAAGCAATCTAGAAAGTTGGCAATATCTCAATTAGGCTTATATAAAGTTCATTAAGTTATTATCAACACGAAGTAATCAAACTAACATTTGTAACATAAATTGAGCTAATAACAAAAAATATGGTTGAATATTAGCTCCAAGTAATAGTTGTTAAGATGTCAATTATGGCGAATTAAAGTCCATTGGCGCAATAATAATTTGACTTGATCAAAAGGGCAGTCATACTGTGATTTTTGGTCAAAATAAATCAGCTTGTCCATTACTTTCTCAATGTAATGTCAAGAATAATCATGATGTCAATTAGGCAAAATCAATCTCTATTGGGTCAACAGTAAGTCGAAGTAATCAGAAGAGTGATTAGTATGATTACTGAGCTGAGAAGTGAATCATTTCGTTGTATAGAAGCTCAAATAAAGATGAGAGTGAGTATTTTGCCCTTTAGGCCAATATAAAGTCAAGTAGGTCACTATAGTTACTCAATGTAATCAAGGTATCAATAATGCTGATATAAACTCAGTTGTATGAATAACATATCGAAGCACGATAAAAAAGCAACCACTAAGTTAAGTGAGTTAATTTAAAGTCAATTGGGTGAATAGTAACACCGAGTAAGCAAACCCGGAACCCAAATCTTAACTGAACTTTTATTTAGTCGCATTTGTCAATAATATTTCAAAAACTTTGACCGTGTAATGAACATTTTGCTTCTATAAAGTTATTTGTCAGTAATGCCTATATAAAAAAAAAGTAATCGGAATGTCGAATGTGCTTGTACCAAGTTACATTTTTGTCAAGAATTTCTCGAAGTAATCAAAAGAGTTATAAAAAATGTTAGTTAAATCTTTATCTTAAAAGTTGGGTTATTAATAGGTCGAAGCGATTAGAAGTGCATGGCATACCTTCACTAAGCTTTAAATAAAGTCAGATGTGTTAATAGCGTGAAGTAATCAAAAGAGTGATCACAAACAGCACGTTTCTAATCTGAATTGTATTAAAAATAAGTAGAACTAATAAAAAAGTGTAAACAAAACGTAAATTCAGCTAAAGTAAAGTCGATTGCGCAACTAATAACTCTAGGTCACCAAAAGAATAATCAATATGTCAATTAAGCTACGTCATTCATGCGACTTTTAACTACAAGTAATCGAAATGCGATCAAATTATAAATTGGCCCAAGAAAATCTAATTCTATAAACAATTACTCTAAGTTATTAGAAGTGTAACCGAAACGCGACTACTAAAGACAAATAAGCACATGCATATATTGTGGATTAAATTCACTGACGCCGGGACTAAATTGGGTAGCATTGGGATTAAATTGGATAGCGCTTGAAGTAAATTGCATTTCGCTAGAATTAAATTGATGGGCGTTTGGATGAAAATGAGCGGGAAACATTGTAGTCTTGTCTAGATGCGTATATTACTGATATAGAATATTGTTTAACTTATACGTATGCTAATCAATTTTTGAACACAAAGTTTCAGTTATGAAAAACTCTGCTACCTTAAAAATGACCATGTGTTCGTTTTTCCGCAGAGCACTCAGAAAGCCAATCAGAGTGATGAACGGAAAGAGGCCGGCGATTAACGCGACCGAAGATATGCCTAAACATATAAATGAGGCCTGCTATATGAGTGAGCATCGTTAAGCACGTTAAGCCTCATAATCAGTGTCTAATGCCAAGCTTCATTTTATGTTGAAGAATATTCTCTGCCTAACAACTCACCGACCTCGCTCCGAGAGGTGGACGGGAAAATAGTCGAGCAGATTCTTTCCAGAGTGTAATTGAGAAAAATTCTTAACTATGAGCAGGGGTGTGCGAAAAGCGATTCGAACCGAGTAGCGGGGCTTCATTCCTCTTTCCAACACAGCAAAAACAACCAATTCTCGTAGCCGTTTTTTTTTTTTTTTTTTTGCACTGTGAAGGTTATGAATGACGCAGCAGCGATTCGATTCGAACCCCGCCTTGAACGCCCCTCATTATTCTTTTCAATTCCAGGGTTATATGCTTCAGATAGTTTCAAGACATTAAATCACACCTAAACCTGATATTAAACTGCTCTTCTTATTTAAATTAAGCATATACTGTGCTTTTTTACGTAGTGATTTGCATTTGTATATTTAATCGGCGTCAATGTTTCAGCTAAGTAAAGATACTTTATTAAGCAGGATTACACGTGATTTTTTTTCAGACAAACCGAATAACTGACCAACTTGGAACATCAAGGTAAAATATTTATTAGTAAAACATTACATAAAAAAAAAAACGTAGCATTTAGACTTATTAATTTTAAGTAAAACACTCGTCGTTTTTTTTCTTTTTTTCTTTCTTTTTGTAAGCTTTGTTTTTCTATGAGATGCCTGCTGCTCGTCGATGTATTACTTTGAGCAGCTCTCATCGTAGATAGTGAACTTCGGAGTTGCATCGCACAGTAGGTCAAACAGGTAGTCGCAACAGGAGAGCTCTTTCCCCAGTGCGCTTTCAGGAACAATAAGAGAACAGGCACCCTCTGCACGTGAAATAATGACGAATATCACGTTAACGTACATTATGCTCTTATATTTATACAAGCCACACGCCTTCTGAAATATCGAGACACCGTGATTGTTAAGTAACAAGTTTTATAGATAAATCTTAAATTCTTCAGAACTGGTCAAACATGACCAATTCATAAGTAATAAGATCACTGACGACCCTCGTAGTTCATGCGTTAATTTGTCACTATATCCACCAATATTCATAATACTAAAAAAGCAGAAATATAGTAATATTAATAATTATGACTTTATTTCCATTGGTTCTGATGGGGGTCTTCGGGCCCCTCAACGGTCAGAAGAAGGCGTAGAAAGCACTCACATAGCAAACAACATGCACACTAGAACAAACTCGGGTAAATAAACCAAGAATCATACAACTAGAGAAGCTAAAAAAAATCGCATACTTTGTAAAATTTATATACAAAAATATGACCTTGAGTCTTTAAATTTTACGTATATATATATCCATACTATTGGTACAAATATTGCTAAATAAATGCGGTAGTGTAAAATTTAAAATGTAAGAACTATAATTTGTTCCACGAGTGACTATCCTTTTTTTTTTCATCTGAAAGGCAAAATATGGTTAGTTTACCCTCAGCGGCGAGAGGCTTTTCATAAAACATAGACCCCTGAGTTTTTCACTTTCAAAACTAGTCGTTATTGTTATCATTTATAAATATTATACGAGATTTCTTAAATACAGCAATGGTATGGAAATCATGTGGTAGGTTACATGTGCTTCTCAATATCTTTTATGTGGCAAGAAACGTTTCCCAAGGTTACAAATGGTTGAAGTACCGCAAACAAGGTGAATATGTGAAATGTAAATAAAATTATGACTTGTAAAGCAACAATGTAGCATTTACTGGTCCCTTAGAGTTCGACATAAAAAAAGTGTTTCGCCAAACGCCATGACAAAAACAAAAACAGCGAAAAAAGATGCTCACAAAATTGCTCAGAAACTAGATGATATTACGCATGTAAAGCACAGGAATCCGCAAAGAAAATGAACTGTAACCCAGATTGTGAAACAAATAATAATAGCACATATTTGAATACAACGTAAAGTAAGTTAGGTTTACTGAAAGTGTATATCGCTGTTCACCAGCATTGCCCTGCACACTTTTTGGAATATTGGGAAATATTGTTCATAGTTCATATGGGGTCCATTGTTTAATAAGATAATTATGTAATATTTTAAACTCTGCCTTCTGTATTTTTTTTACACGGTGTTCTTATTTTAACATGAGCATGGTGCGATGATGCTTCTGTTTTCCCTTGCATAATAAAAATGTCACTTTCTTCTATAAATTAACTAAAATAATTCACTGAAAAAATGCACCAAGTTATTTAATATCCATAGTAAACCGGAGCCAAAATATAACAAGAAAAACGGACAGATCAACGAAGTCTCAAACCCCGCTTTGGAGTTTACTCAACAAAAAATAGCCTCATATAAACGTCCATAAATCATTCAAATGTTGAAAAGCACCTTCTCGCTCAAACTATGAAGCTGGTACGAACGCGTGGGTATATAAGGCGATTTTTTGTTGATTAAACACCAATTCTGTGTTGGAGACTTCGTTCTTCTGTCTGTATTTTTAATTATTTTTTTATTCCTTTGTTTCGGGGTTACTATAAATGTCATTCACAAACTCGCGTGAGTTTTTTTTTTTTTTTTTTTTCACGATACTTTTTTAGAGTTAAAGGCTTCGACTTGTGTTGAGCCGAAGCTGATAAATTTAGACACATGCTCATTTTTCGAAAGAAAAATTACAACTTTGGTTTTATCAATATAAATGTTTAATGAGTTGATATTGTCTCAGCTTTTTATATTTTATAAAATCAAATTAGCTATATCGATTATTTTGTCACTGTTTCGCAAGAGAACCATTTCATGTATCATCCACGTAGATCACAGATTTAGAATGCTCATTTATGTTAGTTAATAATATCACTGAGGTAAAAATTAATCAAAAGTGGTCCTAATATGGTATTTTGCGAAAAACATGATGTAATAAGCATAATTGGGGAAGATTAATTATTCGTGTATACCAACGTTACTAAAACACTCAGTTGGGAAACTCCCATAGAGACAGCTTTGAAACAGTGGCCCCAAACTGTCTCCGAGCACCGAGCTAATGACGAACACAACGCCACCATTTCTCCCGCAGCGGCCACTCGAGGAACTGCACGTGACTATTATTTTGGCTTTAATAACAGATACAGCGGTAGAGGTTACAGGGGTGCCACCCCGTCTCCCTAGCGGTCGCACCGCGTTGAGGTACTGAAGTTAAAATGCACCTAGGGCGGGACGTGCTACCTGAAAGGCCCGCTGAGGCATGGTTTATAAAAACAATATTAATTGTTCCGCAAAACCTTGCGAACTAAAGATGATAAAAGCATCACGCGCCCATCATTTGGTACTAAACTCCAATAAATTTCATGCAAAAAGAGTCTTTTCCGTTTGTTTTTACGCAAAAACAGGCTTTCAAAAAGCTCGAGGTGACCACAGTACAGACAAATGATAAAGAGTGACGTTGTTGTCGCATTTAGCTCGGTCTCGGTGGACGCCAGCGGCCCATGTTTCGACGGCGATTTTCCCAACTGAGTGTTTTAGTAACGTTGGTGTATACTATATTGTTGGCGATATTATAGGTACGCCTGTAAAATTAACAAGTCCCCGAATTCCACACATATCAATTGTTATTAGTGAGACCTCATTTCTAAGACAGTCAAGTGCATTGCTCAAGTCCAAGGACATCCCAAGGAATAAATGTTTGTTTTAATGTTTTTATTTTAAATAAATTTTGGTTAAGTACCGCTCTTTCAGTTGAATATAGGTATTTTCGAAACCCTAACTGGCTACGAAGGTAAACACATAATTTATACGAACAGTCTATTAATCGATTGTAAATTATTTTTCCAAAGCTTTAAGAAAGCAGGCGAGATAGAAATAGGTATAAAATGACATAACACATTTCTGTCAGCTCTTTGTATTGTACAGATACTTTGTCTATTTAAATCCTTTTGCGGAATACACAAGTGTCAAGAAAAAAATTAACAACATACGCTAACATGGGGGCAATTAAGTAAACACCATCTTTAGTTGGGCGAATTTGCATTCCGTCAGCATAGCGCTATGTTTCGGGCGCATAATCACAATGGCGACTTCCGAAAAAGCGATTAGGTTTAAAAATAGAACAACTTTTTCTCCGGTAAATATATATGTACGATTCAGTACTATTGGCTTCACCACCTTTATTTACGAAATATATTGATTGAGCACCTCGGACCTCTCACTGCGGGTTAAATTAACATCTTTACGCTGCAACGTTTCGATGCAATTTGACACAAAAGCGGTTTTAAGTAGTGAAGCTTCTTGTTTCCAGATCACGTCTGTTCGACCATTTGCAGGAGAAGAAAGGGAAGAGTAGTGACTTTTTGGGGCGTTTATCAGCTCTTTAATTAAAAAATTTTGGTGCGACTTAAATTTTCTAAATTATTCGGTTTCGGGTCTTTATAGAACGGATTCATAGTGCACCTTTACTACAAATTGTTTTGAATAAATGGAAAGTTATTCAATGTTTAAGAGTCGTTATTCATATTTGGATTTATTTATATGAGAAGGGACGTTTATAGAGCCTTGACAATGTATCTAAATATAAGTTCAATACAATATCAGCGGTTTCCTGCATGCGAACTGTAACCCAAACAGTCGTTGCAATGTCACGCCTTAACGGCTTTCGTATTTAGCGAATAGCACGATGAGTAGTTGAAGCGACATGAAACTTACCGTTTAGGTATGTGCTTCTGAATACAACGCAGGTCATGCAGTCAACGTAAGAGGCGGTCAGCAACATTGACTCCTTTTCTGTAAGATCGGTCGGTTTGTTAATATTGTGAAGTCCCTCTAACATATACGGACTCAAACACGCGGGGAAATATTTTCAATAAAGCTCCTGAGGGAAGGGACGACACTAAAAACAAAGATTGTTAAAATCAAGTTTTTCTCTTGGGACATCGGTAGGCGATTCCGTCTAATGCTTTTTCATTACGGCAGCCCAACATGAACTGTCAGCCTATGCACTACGCAATGCTGACTTGACGCGCTTGCCAGTTCTTAAAAACGTCTGCTTCAAATTAGGAATATAGCTGAAACGTTAAAGCCCTCTCCCTTACTATTCGACATGTTGAAAGGCAATATATTAAATACAAAGAATGCAGTTATTAAACAAACCAGGCCAACTGATATCGCTAATATTATGTGCGGGTGTCCGTGAAAATATCCTCTGTTTTCTAGTGACCAGCAATGAGCATATGTGATGCACTATGGCTAAAGGAGGGTAAACTTACTTTTTCTTAATATTACCGCTGGGAAATTCACTTAAGACGGGCACTTTATCCAGTCTAGTAGGACGACGAACTTGGGGCCTCTATAGTACATTACTATGTAGTCATTCAACGTGGACAAACCGGTATGACGTACAAGACGGGGATTGGTGGTGTCGAACTTCGAAGAATAAACAGGTATAACGAGTCGTGCGTTTGCATATATACTATTATTTACACGTTGATTAAACGGACTGTCGATTTATGACATGGCTGCCTTGCAGACTACAGGAGAAGTGATCCAGCCGTTTGGTGCTTTCTTCTTCCTCCACTGCCTTAGCTTATATGTGGTCGCCAAACTACTTCTCCAGTCTGTAGGACATTTGTGGAAGAACAAAAGTGAACCTTGCGTCAAGTAGAGTTTCTGTGAAATCGAGTGATAGGAGTTGTGGACAGTTGTGTGGACTTTATGAGGGCAGGCTTGAACCTGTCAATCGATATGGTTTGTTGCTTGCCGTTGACCAGCTCTTGGAAAGTATTTTAGAGTCCTCTTCGTTATTAACTACGGTCCATTACAAGGTGTTTGAAGGCTCCGTCAAACAATATCCTATCTTAAAAAACGTGACTTGCCTTGGTAAAAATCTAACTAATGAAAATTGGCAGTGGCGATCGCCGGTGTGGGGATGTTGGTCGCTGTTTCGACATGGTGTCTTTGAGCCGATGAGCATAGTTGGTTGGGTCCAGAGGAACCTCTGGGTTCTTAGGAGTGAAAAAGCATTACGTAAGACGGAGGGACATTCCGTATCCCAGCTCTCCAGGAGTGCATGAAAGTTCTTTGAATGCCGTTCGTAGGGCCAGAAGTACTTGCGGTAGCGATTCTGTACAATAAGAGCAATCTTGAAGCGCCATGATTGAAGCTTTTAGCCGGCGACGAAATCTTTCAACAAGACTGTTGGCTTGTGGATGGTAAGCCGTCGTTCTTAGTCGACTGGTACAAAGACGAGAGGTGAATTCGCTGAAAAGTGCAGACTCAAATCGCCGACCACGCGCTGTGGTGAGAGAGGCCGGCACGCCAAACCGTGAAATTATATTTGCATAAATCCTTGAGCGACTGCTTGAGCTGCAATGCTGCTAATGGGGTGTGTTTCTGGCCATCTGGTGAAAAGGTCAATGACAGTTAGTACATATATTTTTGCTTTGTGATTCTGGCAGTGCGCCGACTATGTCTAGGCGCACATTATCGAAACGTGTACTCGGAATAGGAAAAATACCTCGTGCAGTATGCGTTTCCAAGTGAAATTTTGCACGTTGGCAACGAAGGCCACTGCGAGCCCCATTTCGAACACGAACGTTTATGCTAGGCCAAACGTAAAGCGCGGTTATTAGGTTCTGTGACGCACGGATACTGGGAAGTGACAGAGCATGGAAGTAGTGAAAGACTCGTCGTCGTAAGACGATTGGAACGGAGGGTCGAGGGGCACCATGCTGGCACACACCAAGGGGTAGGAAAGTCCATGTAGTGAAATCTCTCGAAGAATTAATGCACCTGGTGTAGTTCTGAGCCTGGTCATTCCTGCGTTATTATGTTTATGTGTCTTAAAAATAGCAGGTACAGGGTTTGGATTATCTGATATTTGGGTGATAACGGCCCAAGACAAGGTTCAGCAACAATGTTTTCAATCCCCTTTATGTGCCAAAAATATGCTGTGTACTCAGAAAATAATCATATTTGTCGCAGTTCTCGAGGAGAGTGAGTTCTACTGTCTGGCCTGTTAGACAGTATGGCACCGGCCAATGGCTTGTGATTCGTAAAGATGTGAAATTGTCTAGCTTCAAGAACATAACGGAAATGACAATATCAGAGTAAACAGCAAGGAACTCACGACCGAAAGTGCTGTACCGTCGTTCCGTAATGGTTAACTTGCGAGACAAGGAAAGCAACGGTTGCCATGCACCCTGTAGAACTGCTTTAGTACCGTTCAAAGGGCAATGTCGGAGGCGTCGGTGACGAGACATTTTGGTGCTCTTGGTTTTGGATGATGAAACAAGGTAACACGTGCAATGTGTTGTTTGATGCTTCCGAACACTTTATTTGCGGTATCTTTACAGTTTAATGGTGCTGTTTTTTGGGGTGGTAATATTTCATGAAGAGGCTGGAGAGGCTTCGTGAATCTAGCCACAAAAAGGCGATACAAATTCACAATTCCTAGGAAAACCAGTAGGTCACGCGCTGTTTAGGGCTGGGGGTACTCTTTGAAAGCTTTTACTATTGAAGAGAGTGGACGGATGCTGTAACAATCGATTTGGTGGCCTAGGAAGAAACGCTGGACACTCCTGAGGGGGCATTTCCGGGTCGATCATTAAGCCGTGCTCCTCCCATTTCTTGAAGTGACATTGTAAGTGGTCTTGGTATTCTTGCTCGGTGCTACTTTCGACGAGAATGTCGCCTTTGTAGGCATATACGAAACGTCTTCTCTTAGGACTTAGTCGAAAAATAGTTTAAATGTCTGCGCAGCGTTTCTCAGGCCAAAAGGCCTTTGAAAAAATTTTAAGAGGCCAAACGGTGTTGTTATTGCTGTCTTGAGAATGTCCTGAGGAGCCATGAGAGTATGATATGTAAGCACGAACATGGTCGATGGTGCAAAAAATTTACTCTCCGTCGATAACTGCTGTTGCGTCGTGCGTTTGGGGCACTGGGTATCCGTCGGGTACGATGACTTGATTGAGAGCTATATAGTCCCCGCAAGGACGCTAGTCACCTGGTATTGATTTTGCCACCATGTGGGGCGGTCATGCCCACGGGCTGGATGAAGAACGGATGATTCCCAGCTCCGGCATGTATTCAAAAGTCTGCTTGATACTACAGTACATGTCGGGAGGGAGTCTCCAGGGTTGAGTGCGAACTGGAGGGCCGGTTTTTTCGATCTGATGATGGATGTTATTTTGCAAGTGAGGGGTAAAGGTACAGGGACGAACCAGGGATAGAAACTTTTGGAGAACTTTGGCGTAAGGAGATTCAGAAGCAGAGAAGAGAGGAGCGAGTCTTATCACTGCAGTTTCGTTTGAACTCCAGGTACTGCCAGATGTGTTGTGCCATCAAAAAAACGGCAGCCTCGCACATCGACTGGGAGGTTGAATTTCTGCAGAACGTCTCCTCCCAGAATGGGGTATTGCGTGTCTGCAACGATGAATACCGAACAGACGATGCGACGCAATCCGAGGTCGGTGGTGATGGTTCGCAGCCCCCATGCAGGGGTGGTGGTGCCGTTTGCGGCCTTTTGCTTTGAAGGTTGTCGGTTACTGCGGTCTTGAGGCGATGATGGTACCACAAGCGCTTCTTCACCAGTGTCGGCCAGAAAACGTGATATTGAGTTGTTATCAGTAAAAAATAAGATACAGGGATGACTGTGCAACTGGCCAGTATCACTCGCCGGCCCTAGCAACTGGCTGGATTGTTTCCCTTCTTATGACAGGTACGATTCCGTGTGTCAGCGCCGAAGGGGATATGAAACCAGCACTGTTGTGTCGAAGAGCTGTGACACTGACAAAACCACCGAGTCGGGTAGCGACTTGTCCGTCGGAAAGGGGAGCGCGAATGTCGAAGGGCAGCGACCATTTACGTGAGCTCGTCTACGCATCGTTGAATGCTGGTGCAAGAATTAGCAGATATCTTTTCCTGGTTTTGTCACTTGTCGCTTATAGGCAAATATAATCGACAAGTGATATCCGCATAATATATTATGCAAATATTATGCGGACATATTTGTAAGGCGATGGAGGAACAGGTGACGGAATATTGCATCGTCGATTGTGGCGTTAGCGAGCAGCTGTCTCATCCGGCGAAGAAGCTGTGATGGTGTTTTATCTCCTACCTCCAAGGCAGTAAGCAGCCGCCGAAGTCATTGTTGCTCCGAGGGTCCTGTACGGCGGACGAGCTCGTCCTTAAGGACATCGTAAGGGGTCACTGGAGGAGGCGCGATGATGATATCGCGGACCTCAGCTGCATTTGTGGATGAAAGTGCGTTCACCACATGATAAAATGTGGTGTTCCGGTCGCTGACTCGTTTTAATATGAACTGCGATTCCAACTGAGCAAACCATACCTCTGTATCTTCTGGCGAGAATGGTGGCAGTCGAATTTTGAGGGCTGCTACCTACGGTGGAACAACGGGGGCATGGACATTTGTTCTCATCTCGGTTTGTCTCGTTGCGATGTTCCTCGTCCGGGACACTCCCTGTTACGAGTCAGGCGTTGCGTTATATACTAACTTTGTATTTACATTAGTGATACGTTGATTTCGCGGACTGTCGAAGGATGACATTCCTATTCCGCTTAATTCACGAGAAGTTTTCGAGCCTTTTGGCTTTTTCTTGGTCTCCGCTGCCTTTGATTATGTATGGTCGCATCTGAAGTATCCCGACTGGAAGAAGACAAGCATTAGATATGATGAACAAACAACTTACGTCCAATTGGTTGAAAGTACAAAAGGTTTTGTGTCGTGTATCCTTCAGATGCCGATAGGGTCAGCGTCAAATTGCTGAAGAGAAAAAATCAACAATCGTAATTGGCCTATCCTCCTTTTGTTTATGAGCCAGATATTCGTAAAACATCCTTTTTGAACTTTTCCGATTTACCGAGAGCGAAATGTAAAAATCTGTGTTTTGATCACTTTCATTTTTCAGATGTATATGCATTCATATTATCTAGACAACGTACCTCGTTAAAATATATATTATTCGTAATAACAAGTATATTGTCACCATCCTAGTTCTCAAACAACGGCGGAGTCCAATTAAAATTTGCTACATTTTTCTTGTTGTATAATTTTCAACAAAAAAAAAAGTTGTGTGGCGCTACTTTGACATGTTTAGAAGGAACCAAAGGTATCTTACTATTTTCAGATCTGAATTTTGCCACTTTAAGGCAACTTCCAATCAATGAGACACCGATTAGAAAACGTGTTAATTCACTGCATTTCATGCAGGATGAAGAAAAAAATTGACTTTTTTTTAAGAATTTGAATAAATCAAATTTTTAAAATGTAAATCTGATCAATTTCATTTAAATCACTGTAGCCAGGAATAAATCATTCTTTAAATGTGTTTTATACATGACGGATTACCGTTGATTCGTCATGTTTGATCGATTGATTTATCCGTCCGTTTGATTACTGAAGACAATACAGGAGATAGGATTACTGTACGTTTAGACTCGTTTAGCCAGAAACTAACGATATTTTATTGTATGCAACCTTGCCATAGTTGAAGAAAAGAAGCTTATTTTTAAGTGATTGAAAAATCTGTCTTTTTTTCTTCATGTCGCGTTGAGATTTGATTAGAATAGGACATTAGATATATCTTTTTTCTTGCCTTTTCATTTACCTGCACTAGCTACCTTACGTAGCTTGCAACCTAAGTGGAGCGTAGAAAACACTCTATATGCTCTGATTCGCTCATAGGAGTTGTTCGTTTATACCTGATTGAAATCTTCTGTGCTCGAGCATTTTTTAATTTAAATACAAGACAAGTGTGCCTAGATAGCACGAAGGGATAAACTAATGGTATACAAAAAAGTATTTTAAGAATTATTTATGCGGGAATTATTTAATTGAAATGATCGTAGTACAAAAAGAGTAATATAAACCACAATTAAAGTAACGACCTAAAACAAGATTCGAGCATCTTGATTTTTATTCTTCAACCTATTTTCAGTAAGCATGATTTGGTTTAAAATTATAATTTGGTAGCTTAGAACATTGTACAAACCTAAAAAATATTTTTCCTTTTCTCCTAATTTCACTGATGATTTTAATGCTACAAAAATTAGGATATTTTGCATATATTTGTAGAAAAGCCAAGAAGTAACACCGTTTTGGTTACACATTTCTATATCATATTTGTGCCGGGTCGTTGGAGCATTACTGTATTTATGAGGTGCCCATTACAATCATGTATTGAATTAATAATAACAAGATTAAACTTTTCTGCGAATTATTGTAACAACGTATAAAAATATTTGCATGGGCAGTTTGTCGAGCAATGCATATATAGTTCAGTTCCATATGCATCTCCAGGGCTGATTCTGTCTGGTCACATTCTATCGACATATGTTTGTCCGCTGCCTTTAACTCGCTTCTCCACCAATATTATTCGATATGTAGCCCTAATCTCCCCAAAATTTGGCCATTTGGTCTATAGTTATCTTTTTTCATTTGTGTCGTCACTCCTCGAGGTAATTGAAAAGTCGTCGTGCTCACAACCGCAAATTCCTTTTCCGCAGCCAATCCTTAAATATTACCTTACTGCTAGCGTCTCCGTGATCAAACGATCTCAATTTAAAATAGTTCCCTACATCAAGATTCTGACAGAGTTTACCAATGTCTTTCCTGACCTGGCCGATCTACTGTGCGCTGCCTAATTTGTAACAATGTCTAGAATTCTAGTTTCATGTACAAGAATGCATTTTTAACAGTCACGTACCATGGTCTTATCCAGATCTTTCTTAGCACTTCAGAGCTACCGTTGCTCTACATTGCACCCTTCTTCATTGCAAACGCTCTCATTTGGCCTTATCCAGGTTTTCACTTTTTATGCTTTATACAGAAGCTCTTAAACTTTGTCATTAGACCCTATTCAAAAATCCCAAATGCCCGCGCGCGCTCCGCGCGACGAATAATGGGAGTCCTTGGTACGCTCTTCCCACCGTTTCTCCTCTCGCTACCACGTGGCATACGCGAGCAGGCGCAGGTTACAACGCCAACAACGTTTGAGCAGCCGAGAGCCGAGTCGGACGAGCGAAGATCCAACGGCTGCCCTTTTCTCATCCCTCTCCTTTGTACAGGCTCTGTCGTCTGCTGGAGCAACGCTTTGTCGTACCTGGTCGAAACCTGCCACGGTTGCGGTGCAAAATAAGTTTTTTGTTGACACTTCAATACGTGAAGGTAACTTACGACAAATAACGTATCCAAAGAAGTTCACCTGTCGCGATGCGCTTACGCTGCCACATATACGGTACGCCGCCAACGACGTATGACTCGACGGATGGGTAGGATGGCGGATGGCTGCAACGGCTGCTGACGGTAGCTGCCGGGACGCGCGTGCAGTCGCGGAGGCGCAGCGAGAAAGCGCGTGATCTGTACCGAGGGTTCCCAAAATTTCTTGCGGTCGTGGCACTGTACGTTTTGCAACAGGTCGATTTCTTAAACGTGAATTCTTGTGCATTTATAACTTCGGCATCGTCGTCGTTACAAACCATCCTTCCCAATTTGGCACTACCAAATTGTAGAGATACTATATTCGCTTCTGTTCAACAGATATTTATTAATCTTTGTCAATTCTAGCCGCTAGAACAATGTCATCTGCATAAATCAGTCCTGGTAAGGGCTGATGAATCTCTAGTACATGCAGATAATACGAAACATCTAAACCAATACGGCGTATAGCTTTCTTTCTGGTTTCACGCAATATATTATTTTACTTTTCCTTAATCTACTCACGCCGAACTGTCTCCGTATCGAACTGTAAAAGGGAAGGCACCGTCCACTGCCGGACCCAGACAAGTGAATTCGATGCATGGATCAGTTCCACCAAACGCAGGGTCGGACTCGTAGTTCCTGTATAAGGTGTACCATTTCTCTTGGAGCGGCAAGCACTGTAGTGTGTGTTTGAAAAAGAAGGAAAAAAATAATTGACAACTGCAACTTTCAACAATCATCAATGCACTTTTACATCAGAATGTTAAATTGTAGTAAAGCAAAGGTTATATAAGGAACGCTTCACAGCTTTGTGCACTAGGTTTCGACCGAAACTCGCTCAGAGAATCTCTGCAATGTATACTGCACCGTGACGAATGGGGAAAATCAATAATCAGTTCTCACCTACCTCATCCAATTAACTAATTTGGACGGAAATCGCTATCCTGCTCCAATTACTATGAGGTCTCAGTGAGATTTTATATCTGAACATCCATATGCATGCGCCGGAGCGGAAGGCAATGTATACTGCCGTCACCCTCTCCTAATTGCGTGCATGCGTGTGTCAGCAAACCAGGCGCTCACTGGACGTGCCGTAGACATTGGAATGCCTCGAAGGGGCAAGGGGAGGACTAAAAAGAATATCGCTTAACAATAGCAGCAACTTGCTAAATATGACCGTGCTCGTTTTCCTAAAAGTCTTAGAGGCAAGGGGAACGACTCTTTTCTAAGGATAGAGAAGCACGTAAGCCTTCCATCGTAAAAGTCAAGAAATGCGCGCATTTCAACGCAGTCTGCACAGAAGCTCCCCAGAAACATACCCCATTTTTTCTTCAAAATTTGGCAATTTTTTTGTTGATGATTAAGTTTAGTTTGCTGAACACAGTGGCAGATATTCGCATTTGACATTCATCTTAAAATGTCGTGCAAATATCCTTCGTCATCAATAACTCTACGTTTACACGATACCGCGCGTAAACGTTCAAACACAACGACGCACTTTTCTCGTAAATGGTTGCCCGCCGCTGGAATCAAGAAAAGACAATACGCGATTCATTCAGCGAAAGGTATCAAGCTAGCGGAACTAGCCAGACTAAGCAAAGTTGAACCATACTTCGTTCCACCTTAAGTCGAGACGCAGCCGACGCTACGAGCTGATGGGACCAAACAGACGGCGTCAAAAGCGGAGCAAAATGTTGTTTGTCATGCTTCTATACTTAATATATCATCGCAAAACCAATCATAAATAGAAAAGACCTAGTGAATTGCGCTTTGGACTCTGCAGGTGGGTCCCGCTTCCGTTAAAACTCGAACACGAAACGTTCCTTTAAAACACGCAGTCTCTTCCAATGTAACTCAGTAGAAGCTACGCTTCCAACGCGAGCGTCTTACCTTTCGAAACCATTGCTGTTCCGTGTGAACACGCTCAGTCCAACAAAGATGTAAGGCTTTCAGTGCGAGCTAGAGACGGAGCTTCTTAAGCTGATCTTATTCTACAACTGGCTGTAGTAGTTGGAATGACGACATTTTTGTTATAATAAACAATACGGGAAAGCCGGCAACCGCCTCTTTATGCAAACTGTGCCACGCTCTGTAGCTACCGGTACGGTAGACGGGAAGTGAGAGTCAAGCACTTTTTCTGTGTCGTATATTGTTAAGTGGTACTTGATGTGTATTTCTCAACGATAATAAATTTAAGAAAAAAGCGCGAAAAGGAGCTCCGCTCATCGATTCGTTTTTAACTCGGAGGAGCTAAAGTAGCTTCGAATCTCCATCTACGCTGACAATGGCATGTCTCATAGACAACTGCCTTGCTTACTAAGGCGTAATGATGTAATTTTAACGATATCAATGAGACTTCTACAATAAAAAATAACAATTCAAATCTTTTTTTTTCTCGCCACAATAAAAATTAAGCATGTATAACAGACTGTGATATTCTCAGGACATCAAGCAAGCGATACGTTTTATTTATAGGCTTGAAGACAACAAAGCAGCAGACAAAGAGCTGCCAGAGGACGTGGTCTCGGAATCCTTTCAAGTTTGTCGGCAGGCAACCATGAAAAATGCAAAAGTTAACTATGTGTATAAAAGAAAGATAGACTGAATAATTGAATAACATATAATAAAATATTACAAAATCTCATAACTATAACTTTTACCCGTATCATTCAAAGCAGAAGAAGTACAACAATGCCATACACACAACATTGAAAAAATAAGCATTTATATACGAAGACCAAATTAAGCGAAACAAAAACTGTATCTACCTCTAACTGCGATATACAAATTCCAAATGTATGTAACAGGAAAGGAAATATAGCAAGCAACTAAATGAAAATAACGCAAAACAAATTTTGCATACTAACAAATTCTAACAAGTATTTACGAAACGCAAATAAGCAAAAAAAAAAGAAAAAGAGGGGGCCGATTTATTGAAAAATAAGTAAATTGCCTTTAAATGATTTTTTTTCTATAATCAGCTTAGCGTACAGAAAGGCGGTATTTATCAAACTCCAATTATCACGTAGTCTAAGTGCCTAAAAATTAAAGAGTTCAGTCATGTTTTCCATTGACATCCACCGTGCCCGTGAGAAAGCATTAATGCTCGTGCATGCCATTCCCACATGCTATTAAGACAATACGAGTTATCACTGTGCCGAGAGCATCGCGCTACAGCACACACCACGAACCCTTGAGAATGCAAACTAATCCGTCCCATACCTTGGCGAGATTTCATTTCAACAGATTAACTGTATAGAGTTTTAACAAACACGAATGCCTACACACTCGAAAATAGTCATCATACCTTTCCCGGGTCCTGATACATTTGAAAATCTGGATTCAAATATGGAATAGAGGAGCTAACATCCGAAGCCTGCAGTATTGAGAGCAAAGCAACGCCAAGAAACGAGCGGTACATGTCTGCGCTTCAGCCTGGGCTGCCGAGACTGGGTCCGTCGTTGTTTACTCTGCGTTTTATATAACAAAAAGTATGCCGGCACACAACTGGTTTTCGGGAGATACGCAGCTGTAAGGGTTTCGCAGTGACGTACACACGTGTGATGATGTGGGAGAACCAACGATGAGGAAAACGACGCGCGTGAAAACTGTGAGTTGGACTGAGCAACATTGTGGGCTGAGCAAAGGACGAGGAAGAAGACGAAGTGACCGTGGGGAAGATGGAAATAGCTGGAAGACAAAGAAGTCCAAGGCAACAGTTGGATATACGGAAAAAACGAAGAGGACGACGGAGACGGGAAGATGAGACCCAGGCTCGTGCCTCGTGAAAGAAGGGCGGGCAGGACACAAAATTCGGTTCGACAGCGGTGGTCTCGGCAGCCAAGGAGGAGCCCGGACGGACGAGTCCAGGCCCGTGGGGCTTTCACCCAAGCTCGCTGAAAAGCCTGTGCCTGTGCCTAGCAAGCAGCATTTCCTGGGCAAGACGAACGCCATGCGTACGTCGACGTGCACCACCGTGCCGTAAGCGGATACGGCGAACTGAACCTTGTATATATATCCACTCCATTGTTTTTCTAATTTTTTGTTTATACGACTGTATATAATATCTATCTTCTTACATTCACCGCACTGGAATTCCGAGTCCCTTTAATTATTATTTTTCTCTATCACAATCTGGCGACCGCAACAGGACCCTCTCTTTTTAACATGTTATAGAGAGCAGAATTCCACTCGGTGCTGCAAGAAGAGTTGCAGTATGAATCCCGATAAATTGCTATCGGTCGGGAGAGAGCTGGGGTATGCGGGCATAGAACTCCGCGAATGGGTCGAAAAAGAAATAGTCAGACAGAAAGAAGAACGGGTCAGGATGACAGAAGATGCAAGGGAGGCAGCTAAGGAGGCGCAAGAAACGGCTGACAGAGAAGCTCACAGATTCCAACAAGAACAGGCGGTGCTACAGATGCGTCTTCAGTTGCGAGGAAACAACAGTTCACCTCGAGATGAGGATTTGCAGGATACTGGCAGTGGAGAAAACCCAGGGAGGCAAACATGTTATCGTAGCCCTCATAAATTAATCCCACCGTTTATTGACAAAAGGGGCGACTTAGATGCTTACATCCGACGTTTCGAGCGAGTGACTACCAGTCAGGAATGGCCCCAAGATAAGTGGGCGATGTCTTTAAGTCTCTGCCTCACCGGTGAGGCCTTAAAGGTCGTTGGAATGACACCCAAAGAGACATTGGACTATTCAAAAATAAAGCTTAGCCTGCTTCAGCGGTTTCGCTACACAGCAGAAGGCTACCGGAAAAAAATTTTGGCAAAGCAAGCCAGAAGAGTCAGAGACCGGGAGACAATTTGCAGCTCGGATCCTCGGTTGTTTCGACCGATGGCTTGAGACGGGTGAGACCATTAAGACATTTGAAGGGCTCAGAGATCGCATGGTCGCAGAGCAGTTCTTAAGAAAATGTAGCACAAAACTGTCTATATCTTTGAAGGAGAGAGGCTGCAAAACCCTCGAAAGTCTGGCGGTAACTGCAGACCGTTTTTTGGAAGCGCAGGTCCAAACTAGCTTGTCTAGCTCGAAAGAAGAGGACCTAAGCCATAAGAGTGGAGGTCGTAATAGAGAGGGTAGCCGGCTGAAAGTTCCCACCAAGGGAGTGAGCCGATGTTTCCTCTGCAACAAGCCATGACATAAAGCCGCAGAATGCTGGACCAGTTCCAGAGCTCAACACGGATCTGCGTGCTGGAGGTGCGGCAAGCCAGGACACAAATCAGGTGCGTGTAACTGGAAGCCAGAAGATAAAGGTAGCAAGACTCCTCAGGCATCTTGTATGTTGATAATCACTGACAGCGAAAATCCAGAAGAGACGTACATCGTACTGAGAGACGGAGAACAGATACCGGCAGTAAATCCGGTACTCGGAAAGGCTCCACAGTTCCTGGTTGATAATAGGCCAGTGGTGAGGGGAGAAGTGTGTGGTCGTCCGGTCACCGTACTGAGAGACAGCGGCTGCAACGCGGTTGTGGTAAAAAGAGATCTGGTTCCCGATGATAAGTTAACTGGTGTCTCTAGTCCGGTTTTCCTACTTTATAGGACTGTAAAGTACCTGCCAGAGGCAGAGATAGAGGTGAGAACTCCGTATTTTACGGGCAGTCTAACAGCCAAATGCATGGACAACCCGTTGTACGATTTGGTGGTAGGAAATGTGCATGGGGTGAGACGACCCTACCGAAAAATCCGGTATAACTCTTCGCTATCCGGATTATGGAACCGGAAATCTATCTGGATTCTATCTGGATACTATCTGGAATTTAGGTATTCAAAAATTACTCCTTTGTCTGCAATCTGGATTTCGGGTTTCCAGAAACAAATTTCCGGTTCCATAATCCGGATAGGGAAAATGTATACCGGATTTTTCGGTAGGGGAATTTATGATCCCGATGAAGAATGGAATGACGAGGGAAGACTAAGTGGGTATCAACTGAACGAAGAGAGACAGACATCTAAGGAGACGTCAGGAAAAAGTGAGACTGGCGAAGGACTCGTTCTTGACGAGAGTGGAAAAGAAGGCTGTGACGTCTTGGTGCCGGAGGTTAATTCTGCGGGAGCGCTGAAGAGAGTAGCCGGCAAGGAAAAAAAATCCCAGCTACCAGTTATGACGCTCGAACCGACGGGAATTGACCAAAACAAGTTGAAGCTATCTCAACGTAATGACGAATCATTGAAGAAATGCTTTGCTGCCGTCGGCACAAAGTATATCTCGAGAAAATCACACCAGTCTGAATTCGTGTTGCGTAATGAAATCCTCTACAAGAGGTACAAGACGCCGGTACACAAGCAATGGGAAAAACTGGTTGTTCCGATAGATTTCCGAACCATCGTACTGAAATTGGCGCACGAAGGAATCATGTCCGGACATCAGGGAACTAAGAAGACCACTGATCGCATCCAGGAGGAGTTCTGGCCTGGAATTGCAATGGACATCAAGCGATTTGTGAAGTCGTGCGACATGTGCCAGAGAACCATTCCTAAGCACATGGTGCCGAGAGCACCCCTTGGCACCATGCCGATCATCGACACTCCCTTCCAAAGAGTCGGCATTGACATCGTCGGAACTATCGCGCCCAGTTCAGAGACGGGCAACAGGTATATACTGACAATGGTTGACTTCGCTACCAGATACCCAGATGCTGTCGCTCTGAAAAGCATCGACACAGTAGTGATAGCCGAGGGCCTACTGCAAATGTTTTCTCGAGTATGCCTGCCACGAGAAATGGTCAGTGACCGGGGATCATGCTTCACGTCGGCTCTCATGAAGATCAGCCGCCTATTGTCACTCGGACTGCTGGCGACCACCCCCTAGCATCCAATATGTAATGGGCTGGTTGAACGATTTAATGGGACTCTAAAACAAATGGTCAAGAGAATGTGCCAGGAGAAACCGCGATGCTGGGATAGATATCTCACCCCGTTGCTTTTCGCATACAGGGAAGTGCCGCAGAGCAGCCTGGGGTTCTCCCCGTTTGACCTTCTTTGTGGAAGGTATGTTCGCGGTCCTATGGCGGTTCTGAGGGAACTCTGGACCAACGAGAACACCGACCCGGAGACCAAGACAACATACGAATATATGGTTTATCTGTGCAAGAGACTCGAAGAGACATGTAAAGCCGCCCACGAGGAACTCAAGAAGGCCCAACTGACATGAAAGGAACACTACGACAAGAAGAGTCGAGCGCTCCAACTACGAGGAGGGGACAGAGTACTGATCTTGTTACCGACAAAGAGAAACAAGTTGATTCTACAATGAAAGGGTCCATTCCGGGTAGTTGAGAAGAGGAATGACGTGGATTACATCATAGACCTTGGTCAGAAAACGACCGCGTTTCACATTAATATGTTGAAGAGATACGAGGAGAGAGAAGTTCTTGGAGCTCCCAGGCAAGTCTTGGCTGGTATGGCTGTGGAAGACGATCCCGAAGAACAGGAGGTCCCTCATGTCGGTCTTCACAAGCTTCAAGATCATAAGGACGTACAGTTCTCAGACGAGATGACTGAGTTCCAAACTAACGATGCAAGGAAGCTGCTGGAAGACTTCTAGGACGTATTTTCAGATCTTCCAGGTCAAACCAGTCTCATAAAATGCCAGTTGAAACTGAAGACAAATACGCCAATCCAAATGCGACAATACCCCATTCCCTTTACGCTACCGGAAGAAGCAGAAAAGGAGATCGGCGATATGTTACGCCAAGGAATTATCGAGAAGTGCGACTCGGCCTACAACTCGCCCGTTGTGGTAATAAGGAAGAAGTATAAATCAACACGGTTATGCATTGATTTCCGCCAACTGAATAAGGTTCTGGAAACCGTTTGCGGACCGATTCCTCGAGTCGACATGATGTTCGCTGAACTAAGCACTAAACGATACTTTTCTAAGTTTGACTTTGCCAAGGGATATTGGCGAGTACCTACGGCCGAAGGATCAGAGGATGCGACCGCTTTTTCAACTATGTCGGGACTGTGTCGGTTCAGGTTCATGCCGTTCGGCATAAAAACAGCCCCAGCAGTGTTCACACGATTAATGAGGAAAGTTCTCGAGGGTGTGCTAAACGTACATCATTACTTTGACGACGTCCTGATATCAACCGGCACTTGGGAGGAACATATGAGGAGTAAGGTGAGGGAAGCTGGACTCACCGTCAAGCCAAAGAAAACAGAGATCGGGCTTTCAAGAATAGCTTTTCTTGGCCACAAAGTCGGACAGGGGACTTTCGAGCCCCTAACAGAGACGCTAGATAAAATTCAAGGCGCAACAAGACCAAAGACTAAAACAGAAGTCCGATCCTTCCTGGGACTAACCGGCTATTACCGGGAATTTATTCCCAATTACGCCGAAACAACGCTCCCTTTGACGGAGCTAACAAGGAAAAGAGCGGCCAACAAGGTTATCTGGGAGGAAAGAC